TCTCTGAAACTGTCCCTCTGCTCTGCTTCCTAGCTACCATGAACTATATTCCCCTTTGCCCTGCAGTGCCCTTTCACCATGATGTTCCTGCCTGGAGCTCACAGTAGGCTGACTTTCCCCACACCATGAGCAAATTTGAACATCTTTAAGTTTTGGATGTTGGGTATTGTGTCCCAGCAGCAGAAAAGCTGGCCATATAGTTTGTATAGACTAACTTTATTTTACCCTCTGTGTATTTAATTTTTGCTGGCTTTGTCACCTGTTGAGAGGCCTATGAAATTGTCCTACTTTTATTTATTGCCTTAAATTGAAATGTATTCCTTTATACAATGTTGATCATGTACAATTGGATACACACACACACACACACACACACACACTATGTTTTAAAATGTTTTTATATTTTTATTTTTAGTAACTTAAAACAATCTGTGTCTCTCTCACAACACACACACCTACACACAATTCTGCAACTTGAGCAGAGCTCAGGAGGTGGGGGAAGGTTGTTTTTGCTTTACACAACATTAGCTCGGGCCACTCACCTGAGAGCTGGAAGGTCCTTCCCCAACATGTACACTCTCTTGGCGGTCAGCTGGGGTGCAGATGGGTCCACAGGCTGGGGATCACTATTCTTCTCTGTGTGGGCTTCTCCACGTAGCCCAGGTCCCCCATGGCAATATGGCTGAGTTCCAAGAAGAAGCATCACAAGAGAGAAAGGGTTATTTCATTCTGAATTGCCAATGTGAATGTAATTCTAATACTAACATGGTAATACTGGCTATAATCAAAGAATTCCCCATATATAGTCATATCATTAGTTTCCATTTCTCTGCTAATTTTTTAAGCACATAGAGCTTACGCTTCAAATTATGGTCAAGTATAGTTAGGACACCTGTAAGAATGGCCAGGTATTTAGATACTCAGGTATGGACCACAAGACTAGCTGACAATGCACTCTCTGGCTTTGGTCTTCCATTCTTCAGCTTCTGCACCATGGTATTCCTGACCTTGGCTTGGTACCTAGATGCTGTGCTGTTCACCTGAACACACTTTCTTCTGCCCAAGTGTGGATTTATGCTTTCATGATCCCAGTCTGGAATATGGGCTGCTTCTTTTGCTTAATGATTAGGCTTTAATTAATTTTGAAGGTTACTCAATTTATGAAAATGTAGTAGAAAAGACCCAGACTCCTTTCCCCAAGTAGTGATATTTTCTGAACCCAGTGAAACCTCTTCCTGTGGACTGGGCTGCTGTGGTATTAGCATTTTTTTTCCCTGCTTTGTTAGATTTGTCTGCTCTTTACCCTCCCACTATAAAGCCCCAACCCACCCCTCAACTTCCAGGAGTGATGGGTAATGCCAAGGTTTATGGGCTTTCTGTGAAGTTCTCAAGACCACCTCTAAATTTAGTATTCAAATAGGCTAAACTTGGATGGCTCTTTATGTATTACAGGAAATCCCTGGTAAAGTATCTTGGAAAATTCTAGGTTAATATGATTGTTGTGTTAGACTTGATGTAAGGCAAACCACAAACACACACACACACACACACACAGCATGCTTAGGATGGTAACCAGGCTTCCCATGTACAAAGAACTCCATAATAACCGGATTCTAATGCCCAGTATTGGCTACAGAGCCATACACACCTAGATCAGAGGCCAGGCTACTATCAAGGAAATTTAACTGTCTTACCACCAGATTATCAACAGACTAATTATGTTTAGTAGGTGAACAGAGGCTAGAAGAATCATTCTGAATATAGAATGCATAAATAGTGCATGAGAAACACAGAGAATCAGGCCCACTCCCTACTCAAAGCCAAGCATAGTACCTACAGTCAACTAGAAAAACAGCAGCATCTATGTATAAGATAAAAGATCTCCACAGGCAAATCAGCCAGGAAATGACAGCTTCCTAGGGGGTCTGACGAAGTCTTCCTCCTGAGACAGGCAGGTCCTTACAGTTCCTGGTGAGGCTGTTCAGGAACCAGAATCATGTGGGTAAGCAGCATTTTGAAGAGGAGTGTGAATACTCAACTCTACAGTACTAATCACAGTACAGTATTAGACATTTTTAGCCTTCCGTTTGGTTTATAAGTGTATGGTACTCATTTGTAGGAAGAATTGGCCAACAAATATTGTTTTACTTAAATGAGGAAAAGAGGCACAGGTACATTGAGTGCCTAGCTGGAAAGCAAAAAAAATCACACTCAGATCTTCCAACTCTTAACCCAGGGCTTTGTCCACTCCTCTGAGGTAGATTATGTGGGTGAGAAGCTGGATACAGAAAAAACAAAAACTCCACCTGAGCCATTGGAGACTTCACAAGGTAAGAGGTGACAAAAGCAAGGGAAATACAGAGGGATGACTTTCTTGGCAATGTGAAAATTACTGGGATGATTGATCCCAGTACCAACTTGTGTTGGAACATGAAGTAGGCGTAGAGTCAGATAAATTTGGATGTCGTGTGTGTCCAAGGCATCACCATGGTTTCATGTGGCTTTAAGATTACTCTGGCACGGATAGAACAGTAAGAGTAGAAGAGTCTAGAAACATGTAATCCAATCAGAATAGTGTTGCAGTAAACCAAGTATAAGATGGTAAGTCTTAGATTAAGATGGTAACCATGGAAATAGTGAGGAAAGAAGGATTTTACAGTAAGACACTCAAGTATATAGTAATAGATTGTCATGAACAAAAAGAGTTCAAAGTTGCTCAAGCTCTGGTGGTATAGAAGAATGAAGACCTCATTGGAGAGTTTAGTGCCTTTATTTTGGAGATGTTAGATTAGGTATGACAGTGTAAGAAAAAAAGTTTGAAATTTGAGATTATATCCCAGCTAAACAGCTACAAAAAATAAATTTTGAAGCATGTAGTTCAAAAGGGAAATAAGTTATATTAGATGTTTTCTACAGTCATAAAAACCAATATATAGCTTTCTTTCATATGCTTTTATTGCTACTCATGAAAACGTTATAAAAATATTTCCTTTGGGCGATATAGAAACTACAACCTTTACAAAATATACACACTCATAATTGTTACAATACATAATCTTGTGTATACCTTGGACATTGTGTTTCAGAACATACCCTGTAGAAGTCTGAAGAAACATTTTCTCTAACTTCAGTCATATATCGTGATAGTCAAGTATTTAAGCCACAGTGTTGAAATAAAACATATGTCTCTAGTATATAAATCCAAAGGGATTTAACTTTCAAAGTCTGAAATTCTTTTATTAAGCAAGACAGAAAATTGGAGAGTTGATCCACCTCGCTTCAGGAGTGGTTCACTTTCTATACTTTATTAGAGAACTAAGAAGAAGGCCATGGAAACCTGCCTTGGCAGGTTTCTTCCTTGTCATTCCTACTGATGGAACGTGGCTCCTAAAAGATGATTTCTAAGATACCTCTGAGCTCTAAAACGCTGATTCTAAGTATATATTTGTAAAACAATGCTTTTCCAAGTCTAAATTCCAATACTGTTAGGTTAAAGTTGTGATTGATATGACTCACCTCAATTAATTTAATTTAGAATGTTAGGTTAAAAGCATTAGTTAGAATCAGCACGCCTAAAGTTTCCTCTTGGATTGGAAAAGATCCTTTCTCACCAAGGCATTAATCCTAGAAAAATGTTCCTTACTTTGGAAGAAGCACATTGAGGAGGTGTGAAACAGCTTATAACTTTTCAGCTCTACAGCTTAAGATAATGATAGTCTCATTTGGGAGGTACAAAGGCCTCCCTTGTAAAGAGTTCACTGTGGCAAAGTATAATGTGCGTGTACTTTCTATATCCTCACTAAGCTCCCATGCTTTCCTGGAATTTAACTGCAGAGTATTGGCTAGATGATGGGCTGGATAAACACACAGCATGAATTTGTGATGTTACTATAATGGTGGCATTTGAGCTGACATCACTGACATCATGCAGATATACTATAATTTACCAGTGTTTTTTTTCTATGTAACTATAAAGTCTATCAATTATATTCACAGATCTTTAATGTTTAACATCAGCATTTTTACATATAATTCCATAGGGGGAAGAGACTATAACAGGAAGTTAAGCAGCAGAACTGTACTTCAAATACTTCCAAAAGTTATTTAAAAATATATAGTCTAAAATCCTCTGAGTGTTGGATTTAGTAACAAAGGGAGATCTCTATGAGTGTGACCCTTATGAAACTATGGGTTTTAAAACCAGTTAAAATGGTCAAATCTTTGCAATTTCATACTGTTCAACCTAATAAGATCCTGAGAAAATTTTATTTGGCATCACTATAAATCAAAGAGAATTTATAGAAAATCACATCTCAAGTGAGGAGAAAGCACTCCAAGATGGAAATGTGCACATTGGTCATGCCAAGATTTCTGCCTTGTGACTTAAAGATTGGAAATCTTGAATTGTTAAATAAATTGGTGGTTTCAATAAAACAGAGGACAACTAAAAATATAAAATGATAGCTAGTTGTTAATGCCATTGAAAAAGAAAACTATTAACGAAATTCGGCAATTTGAAGACTTTCTAGGAGTCACATATAAAAGTCCCACCATTAAAATGAAAAGGCACAAGTATGAGTTAGAATGTGACAAACATTTATAAAACTCTTGAAAATAAGGCAATTCATTTGTATTAACACCAGTAAATAGGCACCTATACCAAATTTTAGCTTTGGTATCCTAGATGGAATTATGTTGCAAATTAATTAATACTAATTATAGCAGCATTATAAGCTTCTTAGGCTTCCTCACCACTAAAAGAACATCTAAAATTTCCCCAACCTGTATCCCATCTGTACCAAAAATATATTTTAAAATTATATATATTAGTCATCTTTTTTTTTTTTTTTTT